GTACATGGCTGATATGTTCTTCATAAGTCTTGGAGAAGATGATAATGTCATCTACAAAGGCAAGAGCATATAGTATACCTGCTAGGATTGAGTTGATAACTCTTTGGTAGTGTGAGGCAATATGTTTGAGTCCAAATGGACAGCCACAGAACATGTATTGTGTACCTTGGAAGGTGAAGGTTGTCTTTACACAATGAGGTTCATAGACTTGGAATCTGTGGAAAGCTTGTTGTAGATCCAGAGTAGAGAAGATAATAGAACCTTGTAGTTGATCAAATATTTTGTCAATTTTTGGGATAGGCTGTTTGTCATTGGACTCAAGATAGAGTTTAGTAGACGTGGATCTAAGCATGGTCTATAGCCTGTTGGATTTCCTTGTAGGTCTTTCTTAGGTACAATAGTGAGTAGAGAGTTCCATTCAGAATTGTGAGGTGCACGTTGAATTACTTTGTCCCTTAACCATGTATTGATGTGTTCTTGCATTACAGGTATTAACTTGAGAGGGATCTGTACAGTGCCCTATAAGCTGTTTTGTTTGGCTTTGTCTCCAAGTGAATAATGGATTCAGAAAGAGTACAAAAGCTGTTTTTAGGAATTTGAGCATTCTGATCAAGATCAGATTTGATAGAAGCTGCAAATCTATCTTGTTTATTTTGGTTACCATAAGGAGAGTTGTTTGGTTCAGGTGTATTATGGATAACATCCTTCACTATTGCTTTCTTGTTTGGATGTCTTACTGCTAAATTGGTTATTTGAATATTCAATGTGGGCATTAAGTCTAATCCAATGACTACATTTGTATTAAAGGATAAAGGAAGAACTTCAAAGACATAGGATGTGTTGATGGTTGAGTCATCATTATCTCTGTATGTAATGCTTAGTGCTTTTGAAGTTGTACCAATGCATTTTGTTTTATTGTTGCTAGTGGCTAGTATTATAGTTTCTGAGACTTTTTTGTTTATGTTTATTTGGTTTTTATTGGCAAATACTACATCTATAGAACTAAAAGAAGCACCAGTGTCCAAGAGAGCAAAGGTTTCTATTTGTTCTATGATGATAGGTATACACAAAGAATGGTTAGCTTTTGCTTCATTCTGTTTGCCAATTTTTTGCTTACAATCAAAGTTCATGGGAAGGCTGTTGTATTCAATGTCCATATTTGTGTTATCTTCTTGGAGCTGTGCCAAGGTAGATATTTTTTTGGAGTTATTGTTTTTATTTTGGAATCTTCTGACAGAGCAGAATGCTTTTGAGGGACCAAAATTCTTCTTGTTGCATTTGCAGTTTGCGGCATGCAAGGAAGACCAAGGGACATTGTCTGTGCATTGGAAGCACACAGAAGACAAGACAGGAGAAGCAGAGGTTGGAGCCGGGAATGGAGACTTGATGTTGGCTTTGGCCAGGATATGCTTGTAGGCATGGCATTGCTCACTAGAGTGGCTGCCATTGCCATGGATTTTGCAATATGCCTTCTGTTTGAAGGTAGAGGAGCTTGCTGAGAGCTTGCTCAGGTTGAGACTACCTCTTTTGTTTGCAGGATTATGAATTGAATTTTTTATACCACTGACAAATGTAGACTTAATGGGAGGCTCTGCTTGCAGATTGCCTTTGAGATTAAAGATATTGGAAGATACCACATTGCAGGCAATGGTGGCTACTTTTACCACTGAGTCTTGTTGGTGGAGTGGCATTCTCATTAAGGACTGGGAGACTTCTCTGAACAGTTGTTTAGGCAATGCACATTTGAACAGGGTGGTGGCCTTGAGATCATCCTGCCACTGGGCTGCACATCTGATTCTCTGGAACTGGTCAGTGAAGGCTTTGATAGATTCATTGGGCAACATTTTCACAGTTACAAGCTGGTCAAGGTGGCTAAGGGTGTGTGTGACATCCTGCATAGCATAAGTTTTCTTTACAATTTGTTTCACCTCTTCCTATGAAATGTTTCTGCCTTTTAGGTTTTTGTTAAACCAGAAACGTTGGTCATGGTTTGAGATTGTTTGGACAGGTAGATTAACAAGACTGAATAAAGATAATTTTTATTAAGTAAAGAAAGGTTCACTATTTATACTTTTGGTGGGTGCTTATCCTTCAGTGGCTTCTACCTTATGGTAGGATAATCTATTCTACCTTATGGTAGGATAATCTATTCTATCTTATGGTAGTTATGATAGTCAACCTTATGGCTGCTTCACAATTACAACTAAATGGTTGGTGGGGACATTCTACCTTATGGTAGAATTCACTCTCTTTGACCTTATGGTTGGTGTCTATATTACTACCTTATGGTAGTATTAATAACTGCCACCTTATGGTTGGCTCATATGTTTTACTTAGCTGTAGTATTATTATATTCAACCCTATGGTTGGTTCCTGGGATAAGCACTCCATTATTGAAACCATTAATTATTATGAGTCTTTACTCAATTGACTCTGATAGGTCAATATTGTTCTGTTAGGATTATTAATGAAGATGGCTCTTGTTAAGTGTCTGATAGTACACTGAGCTTTAGAAGGTGATTTGTAGTTATGACCAATCAGTGAGATGATACAGAGATGTACTATGTTACTTGTGTGCACTCAAGCTTTCATAGAGTATTCTGAATGTCACAGCACACTACTTGTGTTGACCTATTCATAGAGAATCTTTGGATTGAAGTCAAAACACAACACAGGGCCTTTGTATTTGATGCCACTCCTTTCAACCCTGTCCATGTTTTGACAATGGCAGATTGCCTGGTCTCCAAGATAAAATTCAAGTTGAACTTAAAAAACAAATTATTATATTATAAAACAAAAAACAAAACAAAATGCCCAAAAACAAATAGAAAAACACAAAACAAGAGTTGTGATATTTCCATATATGGTGGCTTTCAATAAAACAATGGCTATTTCAAAGTCAGACCCTAATTTTGCCCTTAATTTTTTTTAATTAAACATTCTTCACTTATTGCTTTTCCACTCTAATGTCTACCTCATCTAACACCACTGAACAACCCATGAGACCTCTTGGGAACAGAAAGAAGAATATCAATGACTTCACTTGATGCCTCATTGCTCACAAAGCCACCATAAATGGGACCAGCCTGGTTGCCATTTCTGCTAGGTTTGGAGTTAGTCAACAGTCTGTTTACCTTATTGTAAAGAGATATAAGGAAACTGGTTAATTCAAGGCCAAGAAGAGCACTGGGTGCAAGCCCATTCTTAATGAGAGAGATGAGAGAGAGGTCAGTTGCAAAGTGGGAAGGGATTCATTCCAGACAATGGATCAGCTTCACAAGCAGATGACCACCCAAGTGTCTATGAACACTTTTAGAAAATTGATGAAGAAGCTTGGCCTGTTTTCTTGCAGGGTGGTCAAGAAACCCTCTCTCACTACTAAGCACAAGAAGTTGAGACTTGCCTGGGCCAAGGCCTACCTCCACTGGACTGAGTGTGATTATTCAGACAAGTAGAAAGTAATGAGACTGAACAAAGATAATTTTTATTAAGTGAAGAGTGGTTCATTATTTATACTTTTTGTGGGTGCTTATCCTTCAGTGGCATTCTACCTTTTGGTAGTTAATGATTAGTCCATGGCATAGCTTATTGATAGATGCAACCGTATGGTTGGTATAGATGATTTATCCTATGGTAGTTTACATAGGTGTAGCCTTATGGTTGGTTCATTGAATAAGCACACCATTATAGAGCCATCTATTATGTCTTCACTTTTAATTGCCTTTGATAGGTCTTATTTAATCCACTAAGGATCTATAGATGAAGGCAGCTCATTAAGTGTCCAATAATAATTTGAGCTTAGAAGGTTGATTTGTAGTTATGACCAATCAGTGAGATGATACAGAGATGTACTATGTTACTTGTGTGCACTCAAGCTTTCATAGAGTATTCTGAATGTCACAGCATACTACTCATGTTGACCAACTCATGAAGAATCTTTGGATTGAAGTTGGAACACAACACTGAGGAAGACTGGAAGACAGTCATCTGGTCCAATGAGTCAAAGTACCAACTCATGAGAACAAACAACTGCAACAGAGTGGTGTGCAAGAAAAAGGAGGGGCTGCTCCCAAAGAACATCAAGCCCACCATGAAGTTTGGTGGTGTTAGTGTGATGGTGTGGGGTTCTTTCTCTGGTGAAGGTGTTGGAAGGTTGGTGCCTGTAAAGGGCAGTATAGACAGTAGAAGATACATTGATATCTTGAAGGAGAATTACTGCACTGAGCTGGCTTGACTCAAGGCACTGAATCCAGAGGTGGATTATGTTCTTCAAAAGGACAATACTAGCTGTCATAAAATCAAAGAGTCCTGGTTGTGGAAGGCAAATGAGAGCATTGCCACTATGGAGGGATGGCCCTCACAAAGCCCCAACCTCAACCCAATAGAGCATTTGTGGGAGGTGCTTGACAGAGCAATAAGAAAGAGGATGACCCCAAGAAGTACTCTTCAAGATTTGGAGGTGCTTCTGTTGGAAGAATGGGAGAATATTCCCAAGGACACCACAGACACCCTCATTGCCAGCATGGGGCAGAGATGTAGGGCTATTATTGAGGCCAAGGGTGGAAGCACCAAATATTAAAGTTTTCCACCTAATAAATCTGTATTTATTATTTTGTTGACCTTCTTTATACTTCATCCAGTTTTCAAGTCTCTACTGTGTGTTTAATGTATGTTTTTATTACAAAGAATAAGTATTTCCTATTACAGAATCATAATGGGGTATGAAAAAAAACCATTATTATTTTGAAAGCCACTGTATAGTGAATTCACAATAAAAATGAGCTATGCTCCATTACAAAAAAAAAGCTTGAAAAATAACTAAAATTAATGCATACATTTTATTTAGACAAACTATTGTCATTATATTAAACTAATAGCATTAATTAAAAAAATCTTATATCTTCCAAATATTAATTTGAGCAAGTAGAAGTAATTTTCTTTTGATGAGTAATATTAAGTAACCTCAAGAGTACTTATACAATTATTGTACTAAAATATAGTACCCACAACGGGACTCGAACCCGCAATCTTCGGTTTAGGAGACCAATGCGTTATCCATTACGCCATGTAGGTAAGACAGTTTGAGTGACGTCTACAAAGTATATCATAATGTCAATATTATATTAATTTTAACAGGCTATTAATTGATAATAAACTTTTATTTATACCTAAAAACAATAAATACATTTTACTATAAAAAAAATTCCTTTAAATATTGGTGATTTTATAGTATATGTATAACTAGCAGTTGTACATCAGCCCACAATGGGAATTTTGCAACCTATGCTTTGCTTTAGGGAGAATTTACCCTTTATAATAGGCCATAACTACTAGCCCTTTAGGTATGTACATCAAGCCAATGTTTATCAGAACTGTGTATCAGAACTGTATATCAGAACTGTGTTGATATCTAATTTAAGATCCAGATTAAAAAGTAGCATTGTAGGGGACCTTATTTTCAGTCTCAAGTGGTGATGAGAGAGTCCACCTGGGCTATTGTAAAGATCAAGGGAAAACAGGGAAAAGGGTAAGGGTACTAGGTGTTGTGCATCAGGAAGGTAAGATAGAACAGAGAGAAAGAGAAAGTGTTGTGTTCTGACTTCAATCCAAAGATTCTCTATGAATTAGTTAACATGAGTAGTGTGCTGTGACATATCAGAATACTCTATGAAAGCTTGAGTGCACACAAGTAACATAGTACATCTCTGTATCATCTCACTGATTGGTTGTAACTACAAATCACCTTCTAAAGCTCAGTGTACTATCAGACACTTAACAAGAGCCATCTTCATTAATAATCCTAAAAGAACAATATTGACCTATCAGAGTCAATTGAGTAAAGACTCATAATAATTAATGGTTTCAATAATGGAGTGCTTATCCCAGGAACCAACCATAGGGTTGAATATAATAATACTACAGCTAAGTAAAACATATGAGCTAGCCATAAGGTGGCAGCTATTAATACTACCATAAGGTAGAAACATATACACCAACCATAGAGAAACGTTCAGAATAATATTAAGACATTACATATATTTGGTATGTTAACAAATATTTAAATACTTCTATTGTTTATAATATTAATGTTGTATTAAATATATACTGACGTTTTAAATCTATATTGATGTACCAAATTGATGATGATGTTTTGGCACAACACATTTTTCTAGTAAGATATAGTCATTTAAAAACAAAACAAATGTATAAATCAAAAAATATTCATTTAAATAATTCATAATTTTTACATTTAAAACGTTTCTCATAAGGTCAAAGAGAATGAATTCTACCATAAGGTAGAAGCCACTGAAGGATAAGCACCCACAAAAAGTATAAATAATAAACCTTTCTTTACTTAATAAAAATTATCTTTGTTCAGTCTTGTTAATCATACCTGTTCAAACAATCTCAATGTATTTTAAACACTGTTATATATATCTATTGAAAGTTTCATGTCTTTAGCTAATGTATTCATGAAGGTATAACATTATTAAGATAAAGTATGAAACCAAAAAAGGAGATCTGTATATGAAATGGCTGATTATATTTATCAGATCACCTTATTTCAGTGTCAATAGAATTTTAATATTATAATGTTGTACAGGATAAGATCTTAGAGACTTGTAGGATCCTTGATAAGAATGGCTACTTTCATAGATAGCAGAGAGCAGAAAAGACGATTGGGGATATCCTTATGAATGCAAGACAGACAGTAGACAGAATCTTAGTAACAGAGTAGCCAAGAAGGTCAGCCAAGAGAAACAGAGAGGATTGAAGGAGCAATAGATCTAATAATAACCAAAGAAGAATACCAAAACAAAGAGATTACAAGATACACACAAGAAAAAATCAATTACTTAGCCTTAGAGTCTATATTACTCAATTATCAGCCTCAAAGTATTACTTGGATCAAGATGGTTTTTATTAAATGTGAAAGAGGGCTTTTATAGTTGTTTGGAAAGCTATACCATCATTCATACACTTCTCTATTGGCCTCTTATTTACCCCTAGTCTTCTACTTTTATCCATGCAAATAGGCCGCTACACTGCCCTATTCTACAATATGATTAAATGTCATTATATCTTTATCCTCATCTTTTAAATTTTAAATATTTTTATTCATTAGTCTATTAATTTATCAAATCTTTAATTTTTTCTATTTATTATTAATATCTATCCTGTCTTTTTTTTTTTTCAATTAAAAAATTAAGGCATTTTTTTTATCTTTTTTATTCTACTTACACCCTTTTCAAATAGTGTCTGATTCATCTAACACTAGTGAGAAAACAAAAAATAATTCTCTCTACTTGAAAGAAAATAACTGATATTTTTACTTGCTATTTCATTGTACAGTGGGGGAGGGGGAACAAAAAAAACCAATAGATTGCATATCTTACATAAGAGACACTTGTAGCAGTTTTTTTTTTCTTTTCTTCTTAGTAAAAGTATATTCATATTTAACTTATTATGCAAATAACAGACGAGGAACTACCAAACTCTAAGAAGGTTTGGGGAGACCCAAAATAGTCAATGAAAGAGGAATACTATACCTTCTGAGCGCTTTTAGCAAGAACAGACGATTGGCTTTAAGTGAGATAGTTGTAACAATACCTGAAGAATACAGCAAGTGTACTTTTAGACGTGTACTGCATGAAGAGGGTATATTTATCCGAGTGGCAAGAAAGTAGACTCAGATTTGCCAAAGAGCATCTCCACTGGACTATTAATATATGGAAAAAAGTTATATGGACTGATAAAAGTAGTTTCGAGATAAGAAAGAACAGTCGAGTGGTTCAAATTTGGCGTAAGAATGAAGAAGCTTATAATAAAAGACTGTCTTGCTCCCACATTCAAGAGTGGAAGATCCTCATTCATGGTTTGGGGAGCCATTCGTCAAAGTGAGAAGTCAGAACTAGTGATGCTCGAGAAGGATGAACGAAAGGCTATTGAATTTGTCAAGAAAGTCTACAAAGAGGCATTGCTATGTTTCTGGGGTCTAGAGTACCACATAATATTGATGGAAGATAGTGCACCCACACACAAAAGTATTATAGCAAGTAGTTGGAAAATGGAGAGAAGAATTGATAGTTTGGAGTGGCCTGCTCAATCGTCCGATCTGAACCCCATTGAAAGCCTTTGGATGCAGATGAAAGACAAGGTCCAAGAGAGATTTAAGGGTTCTGTTAAGATGAACAAGCTCAAGACTATTATACAGGAAGCTTGGAATTCTTTGATCGAGACAATGCCAGTACAAATGCAAGAAGTCATCAAGAACAAGGATGGGAGTACCTATCATTAAAGCTACATTTGTAATCATCTTTTAAAATAAAAAGAATAAAGAGTAAAGAATAAATTACATATACATATTCTATAGCTTTTCTTTAATATAAGATTGGCTTTACTAAAGTAAAAAATATGTTGTATTCCTATTGATACAGAAAAAATGCTGTATTGATGATATGAAGTCTATCAGTTTTTCTTTCTCTTTTATAAATATATAAATTGCCAACCATTTTAACATGAACTTCACTACCATGTCTTGTGTTCTAAAGAGATACAACTAGAAAATTAGTTTAATTACTAAAGGAACTGCCTTATTTAATGAAAGAGATGAGGGAGAAGTCTCTTGAGAAGTAGCTTGAGATTCTCTTTCAGACACCAAAGGAGCTTCACCAGAGCATGATCTCCAAAGTGTCCATAGTCACATTTCAGAAGATGATGAAGAAACATAGCCTGTCTTCTTACAGGCTGGTAAATAAACCTGTTTTTACCACTAAACACAAGGAAATGAGACTTGCCTGGCCTAAAGACTGTGCTCATTGGACCATTGAGCAATGACGTGTTGTCATCGGGTCATCTGAGTCAAGGTACCAGCTCATCTCAAACAATAGCCACGGCAGGGTTGTATGAAAGAAGGAGATGCTACTCCATAAGAATATCAAGCCGACCATCTATCTTGGTAGTGATGGTGTGATGGTGTGGGGCTCCATGTCTGGTAAAGGTATGGGAAGACTATGCCCCGTAAAGGATAGTATCGATGGCCCTAGATACATTGAGATCCTGAAGGAAGAGTGTCTTCTTGATCTGGCCCATCTTTCTAGAATGAACCCAAAGATAAGTTATGTTTTTTTCAGGAGGATAGTTCTAGCAGCCATAAGTACAAGGCGGTGAAACAACGGAAGGAAGAAGTGAGTAGGGTCACAATGGAGAGACTGATTCTTACAAATTCCCGATCTTAACCCAATGGAGCACCTTTGGAGTATTCTGGACCGCGAGTTTTGAAAGAGGATGGCTTTCCAAAGTGCTCATACCTTTTGTCTAGTTAAAGTATATTTAATATTGTGTTTCCTTTATCTATGTTCTGTATAATTTTGAAATCTCTAAGGTGCATTGAATGTGTCTTTATATATATAACGAACAAGTAGAATAGCATATAAGGAATAGAGTTGGAGAATTCAAAACTTGCAAGTGTTTCTTTCACTCACTGTAGACTGAATCCCAAGATAGACTCACAACCCTCCTAAATATCCATTAAAAGTAGCTTATCTTGAACGCCTTCAAAGTGAAATGACTAGTCTAGTGCGTGCCAAGAATCCGCTGGTGACGGTAGCCCATGGACTCTATAGACCTGTTTGAGATCCAATTCTTCTACTACCGTGCACGCGCAAAGAAAGACATCATCTGTTAAAATGGAGGATTGCTTGGTTACCACCAACACCTTCAGTTCCTTGCCAATGTGGCCACCCATCTGCCAATCGGAACCACTTCCTTACATGCAGATTTGTTGATCATGAACGCTCCATGTTCTTGTTCTTCCTAGTTCCTGCCCCACCACAAGACGTTCATCCAATTGACTATTGTCTAAATCTTCTGCCGTGCACAGTCAAGTCTTTTTGTTAAATGGCGAGATCTTTGGCCCAGTTTGTTAATACTGCTGCAAGCCATTGATCGAGCCACGTCTACTTGAGAAGTTAAGGTAGAGCCATCAGCTGGTAGCTTGCTCATTGAGGCTGCTGATGGGTGTGTTGTGTAAGGATACTAAAAAGCTGCTAGTCTCTACCTGTGTCTTTTTT